CAGCTATACAGTAAGTTGTATTGATAAAAACTGTGTTGAAGAAACAAACTGACTCTAGAAGAGCCTGGACATTGTTTGCTTCCCTTAGTATACATGTGAATGATTGTGATGTTAACCATGCACAAGTATGTCCTTATCCCATATTTGCTATAGCATATTGATAATTTAACCAGTTTATTAAGTGCAAAAGCCTCACAATGAACATAAACCAAGGTTAAAAACTGTAACAATTTCTTTTGGCTTGGAGCAAAACTGTTAAAACCTTTAAATATACAAATTGCAATGCAAAACCTCAACAACATTGCATATCCTTTTTTAAATTACCATGCCGGCAAATTTTCAAAGGCAAATTTTCTAAAAAATTGTATCAAGTTTGGTTTCCAAAGTGTGATTTAGTTACTCTGTATTATTTAATTTGCATCAATGGCTTTTAGTCCTCTCAGCGTTGGCTATTGGTGGCATTTTAATACCTTGACATGTTTTCAGTTTCGAAAGGTTGCATTATTATTATTATTTTATTAATTTATATATTTTGCACAAACTGTATGTTGCAAACATCTTTGGTCTCTTGGAAAGCGAGACATTTTAAGTGTGAAACTTGCATAAATATACATATGGCAAATTTGACTGGTGTTAACTGCATTTGCAAAGAGAATTAGGCCTTCTGTTTATGAATACTATTTCACACAAAGATTTATTTGTGCATCTTTTTTCAGATGTTAGTTTCAAAGGACACACACAAAGGTTTGCACAAATTTATCATTGTGCAAAAAAGTGATATAGACAGGTAAAAAAGATTTCTTATAAGTTTATAGTTTTAAAAATAAATTGTAAGACAAAAGTATGGCTGATATAAAAACAAAATATCCACAGAAAATAAGAAAACTAAGGGTTATAAATTGAGTTGTATAGGTTATCCAATAATACAAATATATTTAGGAGTTAGGTTAATTGGTTTCTCTAAAGTGTCCTTAGGTGTGAAAATGTGAGTGTGCATGGTTGTTTGCCTCTGTGTTTCCCTGCGATGGACGGGCGACCTGTCCAGGGTGAAACCCACCTCATGCCCATAGACTGCCAGAGATAAGCAATGGCCTCACCACGACCTGGACAGAATAAGCGAAAGCAGATGGAAGGACGGAAAATGTATTTAATGCATGTTGATTCTGGATTTTTGTTAATATTTTGTCTGGTAAAAAAAGTTTATCATTAATAAAAGCTCTATTTACTTGTTTTAAGGGGTCCGTCTTAGAAAATCAGAATCAGATAAAATTATTTTTATCCTCAATATACATTTGATTAATTTAAAAAAAAAATGTAAATAGACCTAAAAAAGCAATAAGTCAAATTAACTCTATTTTGTATGAGTATGAATAGCTGTGGATAAAGTTGGGAGCATTCTTCGATGTGACATTTCTTTATAACAGTATGTTTTGATTACAGTTCTTTCTGGACTTGCTTGAAGTACACTATATTGCCAAAAGTATTTGCTCACCCATCCAAATTATTGGAATCAGGTGTTCCAATCACTTCCATGGCCACAGGTGTATAAATTCAAGCACCTAGGCATGCAGACTGTTTTTACAAACATTTGTGAAAGAATGGGTCGCTCTCAGGAGCTCAGTGAATTCCAGCGTGGAACTGTGATAGGATGCCACCTGTGCAACAAATCCAGTCGTGAAATTTCCTCGCTCCTAAATATTCCACAGTCAACTGTCAGCTGTATTATAAGAAAATGGAAGTGTTTGGGAACGACAGCAACTCAGCCACGAAGTGGTAGGCCACGTAAACTGACGGAGCGGGGTCAGCGGATGCTGAAGCGCATAGTGCGAAGAGGTCGCCAACTTTCTGCAGAGTCAATCACTACAGACCTCCAAACTTCATGTGGCCTTCAGATTAGCTCAAGAACAGTGCGCAGAGAGCTTCATGGAATGGGTTTCCATGGTCGAGCAGCTGCATCCAAGCCATACATCACCAAGTGCAATGCAAAGCGTCGGATGCGGTGGTGTAAAGCACGCCGCCACTGGACTCTAGAGCAGTGGAGACGCGTTCTCTGGAGTGACGAATCGCGCTTCTCCATCTGGCAATCTGATGGACGGGCCTGGGTTTGGCGGTTGCCAGGAGAACGGTACTTGTCTGACTGCATTGTGCCAAGTGTAAAGTTTGGTGAAGGGGGGATTATGGTGTGGGGTTGTTTTTCAGGAGCTGGGCTTGGCCCCTTAGTTCCAAGGAAAGGAACTCTGAATGCTTCAGCATACCAAGACATTTTGGACAATTCCATGCTCCCAACTTTGTGGGAACAGTTTGGAGCTGGCCCCTTCCTCTTCCAACATGACTGTGCACCAGTGCACAAAGCAAGGTCCATAAAGACATGGATGACAGAGTCTGGTGTGGATGAACTTGACTGGCCTGCACAGAGTCCTGACCTCAACCCGATAGAACACCTTTGGGATGAATTAGAGCGGAGACTGAGAGCCAGGCCTTCTCGTCCAACATCAGTGTGCGACCTCACAAATGCGCTTCTGGAAGAATGGTCAAAAATTCCCATAAACACACTCCTAAACCTTGTGGACAGCCTTCCCAGAAGAGTTGAAGCTGTTCTAGCTGCAAAGGGTGGACCGACGTCATATTGAACCCTATGGATTAGGAACGGGATGTCACTTAAGCTCATATGTGAGTCAAGGCAGGTGAGCAAATACTTTTGGCAATATAGTGTATCTTGAATATTTTGATTTTTTTTTATTTTCTGCTGATTTTCTTCAGTGAATGGGATCATTGAGGTTCTGTTTTATTAAGATTTAACTGCCTTACAGATGGTCTCAATCATTGTGTTTAAAAGAATCCTAACAATGTGTAAGGATGTTTATACTGCACTATGTTTAGTTTTTGACAGAGTGCAGCCGAGCACATCATCGCAAAACATCCTCAAATTTGGTCTTGTTAACTGCTCCTAATTTTGGGGAATTTTGTTAGTTTGAAAGGGAATGCTGGCATGCCAGTATCCCTTTCCAAATAATAGACTTTTTTTCACAATCCTTCCAAAAACAAGTTGAGGAATTTGAAATCTAAGATGTGCATTTTATGTGCTGGTTTTAAGGTCCGTTGTTCTGCTGAGGAAAACAGATTTGGTTTCTTCTTGGCAAGTTTATAATTAGACTGTTTGTCACAAAAGCTGAGGAAGGCAGATTAAGCAGCTTGTCCTAATTCTGGTGATACCCTATCAATGCTCGGTGAGTCCTATTTGTTTTTTGGATCTATATTTTTACAAAGAAGTTTAGCTCAGCTAGGGAAGTCATGATATTCACCTCTGTTCCCTTCCTGCTGTAAAAGTGGTTCAGGATTATGGTTATTGTACTGCAAGGGTATCCAGTACAATAGCAATAATGGCACTTCCATTTTTACAATCAACCTTGACCCTGGGTTTATATTTCTCTTCCACCAAGGTTAGATTTAGGGTAGGAAGGAACTGTACTATATTTAATTATTAAAGCTACTGAACTTAGGCTTAGTTGCTTCACCTTTCTGTCCAAAACCTCCTGTGTGACATTTTTTTATTTTGTGTACTTCATATATAGAAATATAGAGAATCAAATGAACAAATAACAGTGTAGACACCATCTTCACAAACAGCAATGAAGGGTTATTTAGATAAGGTTGTAATTGAAGTATAAATTAAAACAGTAATTTGCTTTAAAGTTATAGTGGAGGATGTTCTTTTTCTTGGTGGATCATCAAAATAAGTGGTCCCCCTAATTGTCAATCATTCTGGTTATATGTTTACATAAGGCTGTCCTACTTGCTCGTCCCCATTTTCACTTACGGGTGAAAATTGCAAAAGTTTCTTTTGGAAATTAAGCTGTATGAGCAAAGAGCACCTTTTAAACAAATCATGCAAAAGGAGAAATGGGCTTGTGCATGCTCTTGCATGTGTTTAATAGGCATTCCCTCTGGGGAGTGGGTACAGGGTTGTGCATGTGCATTGTTTTTCTAATGTAGAGAGGGTGGGTCTTTTCAGAAATTCACGAAAATCCTCCACTATACCATTAATGTTGAAATTTATTTAAAAAAATAAATACATAAACTTGTCCTAATTGACTTACTTCAGGTATTAATTGTAAAAATGGCATATCCCTGCAGTAGGGAGAAAAAGAGCAATGCTTATAGCGTTTTGTTAGGGAGTTCTATGGGGGTTCCAGGTGTGAGCTTATAACTCCTCCTTCTTAGTTTTGTGTTGTGTTTTTGAGAGTTAAATGACAGGAAAGGCTATATTGATGTCACTGAAGTATTGTTCTAATCTTCATAATATTGGTGAATAGAAACCTAACCTAGGAGATTTATGAACCACAGCAGTAATAGGGCACAGAGAGAGGGATGTTAATAAGGAAACCGTTGAAACATTGAATTAGAGAACAAGCAAAAGAATAGCACAGCATAAAAAGTGAAGTGGACATCATATAGGAACTCAAAGAGGTCAGCATTTATATATTTTCCAAGTGTTGTTTCATTATTCCTGAAACAGGGGACATTATGAAAATTGGACTGAAATTAGATTTTTCAAGCCTTTTGATCATACATAAAACAGTGACACAGTAGGACATTTGTTCACTAAAAGCTTTATTTGTCAATCTAAACTTTAACCAGATCTAATGTCATCACATAGTCAGTTACGTAAGTAGTACGAAAGACATCTCTTTAATTTCCAAAAGAAAAAGCATCCTTAAATAAAAGGCTTTCATTCTTCAATATAATGTTTGTTGTTTTTGTTTAAGTTTTGTCATTTTTACATTTTCACAATGTGGCATTTTATAATTGACAGCGAAGTTCAGTATTCTGGAGAATAAAACACAGAAAAAACAAACAAAATTACAGTATTTTTTCACCGTTATCACAACATAATTAAATGCTGAATTGCAAATAAATGTACAAATTCTACTTAATTAAGCAATTTTCTGTTTTGAAATGGAACGATGTTGAAAAAAGGTTTAAACATAAAGAGAAAAAAATGTTTTAACTTTCCTTTGGATTAATACAGTATATTTTATTTAAATGATTCGAGTATGTTCACAGGTTTGGTGTTACAGCAAACCATAATACATTTTCAGTACATTCTATGTCAGCTTTTATAAGGTGACCATGCTTTTAGTGTAAGGCTATTTAATTACGCAATAGTCAACTGCTGCATTTTAAGTGAAATCTCTTTAAAATCTTAATCTGTATCTAAACGGAACATCTCTGATGGGTTGCATCGATCCAAATCCCCAACGCCTGAAGTCAATTTGAGGAATCTCCTCATCTGCATTTTTCAGCTCAAACTCAAAGTAGACCAACATCAGGAACACAAACTGTTTCAGCTCATTGGTGGCAAAAAATCGCCCAGGACACATGGAGACCCCTGCACCCCACGGCATGTTGTAGTACTTCACTTTCTTACCACCTTTGAAAAAATCAGTTTTTTTGCTGCCATCTGGGTTCAGAAAACGGTCATATTTAAATGTGTGTGGGTCAGGATGGATCTCTGGGTCAATGTGGACTGCTGAGTAAGGAAAGATGGACATCCTGTCACCCTTGCGGACAAGGTATTGACGCCCATCAGCCAGCTTGAGAGTCATATCCTCGAGCACAGCCCTGGTGAGAAGGGGCGCTGCTGTGAGCCTCAGGGTCTCTTCCACAGCGCTGTCCAGGATGGGAGTTTTCAGCAGCATTTCACGGGTAAGGTCTACCAAGGGGCCGCCACGTCTGACTTCCTGCCCTGACTCTTTCAAAACTTTATCAACCTCTTCTCTCACTGCTTTCATGGCCTCTGGGTGTTTCAGGAGGAAGAGGAGAAGCCAGAACGAAGCCGGTCCTGTGTTTCCCTGAGAGGCCCAGAGAAGCACAAACATGTACCTGTTGATCATCGACTCATTCATCCCCACCTCTTCTTTGGCCTGCTGCATGTCCCACACCCAGCGGCTAATGTTGTCCCTAGCTTTCATGTTCTGCACAGACACAGCATCCCAGAAGAAGGACTGCAGCCTGTCAGCTTCCCACTTCTGCTTTGGTGGAAGAACTCCATATGCCAGGTTGGGGAAGAGTTGGTCATATTTACGAAATTCGTAAAACAAAGCTTCGGAATGAGTTCTGTCCTTTTCTTTGGCTTTTTCCTCACCTCCTTCAGACTTGTTTGGCACATTTCCATATAAGGCCAAATAACCAGCTCTGAAAACAATGTTGTAGCTGTACATGAATAGTCCATCTTCCTTCCAGGGACTCTGATCTGTAGCTGAGCCCACACTGTGCAACATCAGGTTTTGCAAATTACTCATCATGGATTGTGTCATTAACTCCAACCCTTCTCCTTTCAAATGCTTGTTGCTGGCAATCATCAGGATATTATGATCATTCTCGACTGCTTTATAACCAAAAACCCTCTCAACAAGCTGCTCGGCAAAGCTTTTAAAGTCCAGCTTCTCTCGAGCCTCCTTAACGAAAGCCCCAAAGGAAAGTGGGTCCTGCAGAAATGTGAAGTAATATCCTCCCAGCTGTACTGTGAAAACATCACCATGCTTCTTCTGCATCCTCTCCAGGAACTTTAAAGTGTCTCTGCGAAATTCCAGGACATGGCCAAGCCATGGAATTAGTCCCTTGTCAAGAGGGGGCTCTCCTGGCCGGCGCTTTCGGAAAACTCCGAGAACGTACAGGCCTCCAAGTAGAGCAACAAAACAGCTGAGGAGGATCAGCAGAAGTCCCATGGCTGATTCTGCTGGCAGAAAGAGTGATTGTGGGGTAAGGTCTGTGCTCAGCTTTACAAACAGGCTGTTGCTCCTCCCATTCATAATGGGTAACAGATTTCCAGTAAGAGAAGATCAAACACTTAAGCTGAACAAGAGATAAGGAATTTGTTTGCAGTTTCTGATGTATTTCTGAAAGCAGAGAAGTGTTAACAGGCACAATTAACCACAGGATATTTTTTTATTGCAACACAATAATTTCATTATACTTTAATTATACTATGATATTAGGCAGGCATGTTCTGTGGAACTTTTAAAAGCTGATTTAGAGACTCACTTGTTTCTGAAATGTATGTGCAAAGTTTTATTGTTTTTACTCTGGTCTTTACTATTCATCTGTTCTTATACTGTTTTTAACTGTATTGTTTTATTTGTTATCTTTTAATGTTTTCAGCACTTTGTTTGATGATGATAATGATAATAACTATATAATGTTATTATTATTATTATGATAAGACGTGTCCTCTAATAATGAACATCTTTGTAACTGGATGCATTTGCAAAGTGTAATCTGGCTTTTTATCTGCTTAATGACTTCTATACTGTCTAAGTGGCATTTCTGTGTAAATAAGTGGTTTGGGCATTTGGAAATTTTCCCCAATGATAACCAGAATTCTGGCTGATATATTACACAACAATCCCTTCTTTCAGTAAGGGGTACTTTTTATTTCTTAAAACATCCTTAGATGTCACTCTTGTTTGGTCAAATTAGCCTAAAAGAAGCTGAACAATGCCATGATATCATCATTTCCCCTTTTCCAAGTGATTGAATGACTAATAATTTTAGTAATCATATGATCTTTCATATCATTGTGACAGTTAGCAACTATGAGCTAGCAACCCCGGGGCTCTAGTTTGTATGTTCTCTCAGGCAGTGGGTGAATTTCCCTGACATGTGCAAACAATGCAAAGAAAAAAAGGTGCCATAAAATAGATTGAATCTAATGCAACATTAAAAACTTGCTGGACTGAAAGCAATATACACTATATTGCCAAAAGTATTTGCTCACCCATCCAAATTATTGGAATCAGGTGTTCCAATCACTTCCATGGCCACAGGTGTATAAATTCAAGCACCTAGGCATGCAGACTGTTTTTACAAACATTTGTGAAAGAATGGGTCGCTCTCAGGAGCTCAGTGAATTCCAGCGTGGAACTGTGATAGGATGCCACCTGTGCAACAAATCCAGTCGTGAAATTTCCTCGCTCCTAAATATTCCACAGTCAACTGTCAGCTGTATTATAAGAAAATGGAAGTGTTTGGGAACGACAGCAACTCAGCCACGAAGTGGTAGGCCACGTAAACTGACGGAGCGGGGTCAGCGGATGCTGACGCGCATAGTGCGAAGAGGTCGCCAACTTTCTGCAGAGTCAATCACTACAGACCTCCAAACTTCATGTGGCCTTCAGATTAGCTCAAGAACAGTGCGCAGAGAGCTTCATGGAATGGGTTTCCATGGTCGAGCAGCTGCATCCAAGCCATACATCACCAAGTGCAATGCAAAGCGTCGGATGCGGTGGTGTAAAGCACGCCGCCACTGGACTCTAGAGCAGTGGAGACGCGTTCTCTGGAGTGACGAATCGCGCTTCTCCATCTGGCAATCTGATGGACGGGTCTGGGTTTGGCGGTTGCCAGGAGAACGGTACTTGTCTGACTGCATTGTGCCAAGTGTAAAGTTTGGTGGAGGGGGGATTATGGTGTGGGGTTGTTTTTCAGGAGCTGGGCTTGGCCCCTTAGTTCCAGTGAAAGGAACTCTGAATGCTTCAGCATACCAAGACATTTTGGACAATTCCATGCTCCCAACTTTGTGGGAACAGTTTGGAGCTGGCCCCTTCCTCTTCCAACATGACTGTGCACCAGTGCACAAAGCAAGGTCCATAAAGACATGGATGACAGAGTCTGGTGTGGATGAACTTGACTGGCCTGCACAGAGTCCTGACCTCAACCCGATAGAACACCTTTGGGATGAATTAGAGCGGAGACTGAGAGCCAGGCCTTCTCGTCCAACATCAGTGTGCGACCTCACAAATGCGCTTCTGGAAGAATGGTCAAAAATTCCCATAAACACACTCCTAAACCTTGTGGACAGCCTTCCCAGAAGAGTTGAAGCTGTTCTAGCTGCAAAGGGTGGACCGACGTCATATTGAACCCTATGGATTAGGAACGGGATGTCACTTAAGCTCATATGTGAGTCAAGGCAGGTGAGCAAATACTTTTGGCAATATAGTGTATATATATATATATATATATATATATATATATATATATATATATATATATATATGATTTGATGCTTTGGATTTAGGCTTTTGCAGCAATTTACCTCCATGTCTTCCAATGGATATTGGAATCAGATGAATATTTGCAAGTTACAAAAAAGGAAAGAAAAAAACATTTTCAAATGTGAAGTGCTGTGATAAAGATGTGTTTGAGCTTTGATAAAGATGAGTTTGCCACTGCATGTATTTAAATTACACTGAAACATTTTCAAGTAAGCAGAACTTTAAAAGAAGTGATTGAATTAGAAAAGCTTTTCTAAGGACTTTGACGGGAAGCTAAAGCTTTACCTTAGCAACTTTAATTCTTAGATGTTTGTTGAAAATAAGCTTAATTTAGTCAGACCTGAAACAATCAATCCATTCAGTATTACAGCAAATTTTAATCAAAACATCAAACTGATAATTATACAGGTCCTAGGGATTTTATTTTGTTAGTTCTGCATAGGTTCAATATGTTGGTTAAAACCAACTAATCAAGTACCCTAATCCTTATAAATAAAGTATACAAGGTTAGCTAAGTAGAAAAAAGAAAACTTTAATAAAGCCAGACCTTGAACAGCTGATGAAACACTCCAGTGACCTTCATCCTGCTCCTGACCCTGTAATCATTCAATATTTTTGCACAATTGATCATGCAGACAGTAATGCCAGTGTTGTTTGACAACGGGTTCAGAAGGGAATGTTTCTTCTGCTATCATGATGGCCATGAACTAAATTACAACAATCTGCAAGCTTTATTGTTTAATATGAGAGCAATGTGCACTTTAGACTGCAGCAGAGGCTTGTGTGATTCTGTCTTTTGTTTGTCTGGTGACAGGGCAGTCCAAAATTGGAAGGCAGAAGATTATGAAATATGGTAGAGAGGTTACACTCTTCAACCAAGAGTTGTTTTTCATCCAGAAAATAATGTTAGGCCTAAAATACCTGCCCGAAGGTCTGGTGTAAATGCAGAATATGTTCTATATAGGCATTTTTTTTAACAGACATTATAGGTATAGGAAGTTAGCGCAAAAAAATAGTCCTGGCTGCTTTCTTTTTTCAGAAGCCATAAAGCGCCATCTGCTGGATTTTAATAGAAATTAAAGTATTAATTAGATTTTTCCTGTTACTGGCTTTTTGTGACATCTAGTGTTTGCAGTCATGAAAGTCATATATTAATAGTTCCTTGTCTTGGGGCAGTGCCAGTAACTTGATAGATCTTGATTTTATTTCCTTATTTTTTAGAGACAAATGTTCAAATTTTCAGTTTCCCTATTATTGTTTTTTTTTCTAAGTACATTTGGAAAAAACTAAATACAATTTATTTCCATTTAAATACTTTGAAGAGAAAGTTGTTTTTTTAGTGTTTTTATAAAAATAGGAAGCAGCCTGATATAATCAAAACACTAAATTGAAACAAAAAAGTGAAAGAAATTCATGGAATCTGAATGCATGAAGCTGTTGCTGAACTGGAGAGCTCCCTCAGTGACAGACTGCTGCACCCTAAATGCACCAGGGAGCGTTATAGCAGATCCTTCCTCCCAGCAGCTGGAAGACTTTATAACCCACTGTTCCCAACAACCTCAAGAAGTTGTTTCACTGATGCAGAGTTTTGCAGTTTATGTCGTAGTCAGTTAAATAACATGCAGCTGTCATTTCTTTTCTGTTTTTCTTTTTTTCTCTCACATCGCTGGTGTTGCTGCTACTTTTCACATATTAGTTACTGTAAAAATGTCCACAGCTCTTTATTGATTATTAACTCTCCAGATACAGACCATTTATATTGTAAAAACACTGTACAGGGTTGGGTATTTTCTTAACTCTGTCACATGTGTGATCAATTCTGCTATAACCTTTTGCTGTTGTAACACCACAATTTCTCCACTGTGGGACTATATAGGGATTTTCTAGGGACATTCTATTCTATTCTTTTATAAAATCAGCTTTTATCATTTTTTTTTATTTTTGCATTAGTTCATTGTTACTGTAAATAACAACAATGCATCCTGAAATATCAAGAAATGTTTGAATTTTGACTCTGACATTGATACACCTACATTATTTAATTTGATTACTTCAATTTTCTATTTTATGAAAAATTCAATTTAATTAAAATTTTAATTCAAATATGGCAGTGAGCCTTAATGCTGACATTTCCTCTATGTGATATAAGTCTGGACTTTGGCTGGGCCATTTTAAAAGATTAATATGTTTTAATATTTGAATAACTCTTGCAGGTGTTCTTTCACAATAGCTCCACCCGATTCTGCCATAACCAGGACGGTAAAGAATTGTATTCAGATTGCCTGTGTAATAAACTGAGTGTTCCTTTGTGAAATGTTTCTCTGTATAAATCCAGTTTTTCTCCTAAAATCTCAGAGGCTTAAAAAACATTAGTGAGCAAACATTATCATGACCAAGAAACACAAGACAGGTCAGGGATATAAAGGAGTAGATAAAGCTACATTACCATTTGCACAACAAATATATGTGTATACACTCTGAATTTTGAGGCTGTAATGAGAAAAAAGTGCATTCAGAAGTTCACTGTTCTCTATTATATTTACATTACTCCTGAACCTACCTTTACTTTATTGCACATTCAGTTATTGACCACTAAGTGGGGTTATACCATCTCTTAACAACATTGTCATCTCAACATTTAACTGTTTTTTGTTTTCTTTAAAATAAAGTTTGGCACTGAGGTATTTTTCTCCTTCGACCAATTCACGTGAAGACCTAAAAGGATGAGGTAGTGTTTTAATATTAAACATTTCTAATATAAGTTGCTAAGAAAATATGAATCTTAAGATCATTTGCGCCTGGCTTACTCATAGTTTGAATAGAAAATGTAGAACAAAAAGATTCTGTTCTGTTATTATTTTATTTTTTTTGTAAAGTTTAGAAGGATTCAGTTACTTTCCTTTCACCCCTTTCCTTAATCTGCATTCTGAAGTGTACATCTGGTTCTGGTTCTGGATCAGTAAGATCTGAGCCAGTAATTACATAAAGGAAATGCCACATGCTCATTAGGGCTTTGGAGCTGTTCTTTTCATGTCCGTTCTCAACAAGGCCGAACACTATGCAGAACCTCTCATAAAATGATTATAAACCTTTAAGGAAAAAGAAAATTGCAAAGCACTGCAAAATGTAAAAAAAAAAACAAAAAAAACTGTTATTAATATGAAATGCAATTATTGTATTCTGTTATATAACAATAAATGCGAAACATAATACAAGTAAATCCTTCATCAAGTTGAAGCATGAAAGTGTTGTTTTTTTGGGGTGGATCATCTCAAGACTCCCTATTTTTTTCTCATAGGCAGATCTTTCAACTCAAACATTTAACTTTGCAAAAATCTTCCAGATCAGTCATGATGTCTGTCAACTTTAATTTTCGAATCTTACCAAATATTCCAATCTGAGTTCAGGTCTTGACTACATGGTGGCACAGTTTGTAGCACTGTTGCCTTGCAGCAAGAAGCTCCGACTCCCAGCCCAGAATCTTTCTACATGTTCTACCCATGCTTGCGTGAGTTCTTTCCTGCTACTCCAGCTTCTTTCCACAGTGCAAAACCATGACTGTTAAGGTTAATTTGTGTCTCTAATTTGTCTTTAGGTGTGAGTGTGTGTGTGCTCATTTTGCCCATAGACTGTTGGAGACCCTGTCGGATTGAGCGGGGAAGACAGGTGGATGGGTTCAGGGCCTTATTTTGTCTTAGTAATTTTAGCACATGCTATTGCTGATTTTAAAGAGACTTTTTTTTTTTAGTTTTTACAGAAAAAAATATATTTACAATAGCTTTTTATGTGACTGTTTCACGTTCTGTTTAATAATCAGAATGACTCCTCAGTATTTCAGTGCCGATGCATCTATATCTATATTTCCTGAATTTACTTTGGGTTGAAAGTTCCTGTGCTGTTTCTGCGTATGTGACGTTAAGAGTGTCAATGTAAAATGCTTCCAAAAAAATCTTGTCAAGTACGATCACATGCTACGAGAAGCAGAAGAGTGCTGCAGCTCTGCGTTTATGGCCACTAGGGGCAGTATCATTGGAACACTCCACCATGCCTTTTTAATCTTTCTCTTGCTACATAGATTCTCAGGTCATGGAAACCACAAAATGTTGTACGTTCTGTCAGCTTGCAGTAGAACAGCCTAATTCTATTGCATTGTAACGGCGATTTTATGGTGAGACTCCTTGCCCTGCATACAAGGTAATGCCTATCTCAGTCTCCAGTGAAACGCAGCCTCAGATTGTTTTCCGGGATTGACATGTTTTAGCTCCATTTTATCATTATTTCAATTCAGTTTATTTATATAGTGCCACTTCACAACACATGTCATCTCAAGGTATTTTACAGAGACAATTCAGCCAAATCATATAGTCAGATTGGCTCAAAGTTTTCTATCAATGGGAAAACCAGCTGATTGCATTGACTCGTTGATTCAAAAACAATCCCTCACACCAAACCTGCTTGTAGCTCTCAGGAATCCAGTTTGTGTAGTCTGTTTTTGTGTTTCCTTTTTTCCTCCACCAGGTGGTGCCCCATCCTCATTGGGCCTCCCTGCACACCTGCAGCTCGTTGCCTCATTACCTGTGGAGTGTTCTTAAGCTGCTGACTGCCACTACCTCAAGGCCAGAGTGTTTGCCAGTTTGGGGGAACTCTAGCCATGCTTAGTTTAGCAGAGTCTAACCTGAGTTTTTGTTTTGTCAGTTTAGGGTACTTTAGCCAATCAGAGTTTTTGCTAAGTCAAACTGGGCTTTGTTTAAATCTTCCTGTATTTGTCTTTGCCTCTCGGCAGGAAGTCATCCTGTAAACTGGATGTTTGGGACCTTCACTCCCCTGGAAGGATCTTCTGAGAACCAAACTGAGCTGAGAATTCAAGTTTGTGGTTTGGATCAACCTTTTCCCCCAAGGATCATCTGGGACTTCTCTCTGAGCAGAGAATTCATCTCCACAATAACCTGTTCAAGTACCACATGAAATCTAAGTGGCAGTCAGCTTCTCCGTTCACCAAGGAACAACCGCAATCTGGGTAAATCCTGTCTGCCCTCCATCAACAAGACAATCACTGGAACTTCCCACACAGACTGGATCCAATAAAGGACACCTTTTTCTGGAAACGTGAGTCTGTAACCTATTTCTCCTCTTCAAGTCAAAGAATCTTATTTCCCACTGAGCCTGAACTAACCGCAGTGTTTTCCCTCACTCTCCAGTTCCAGTTCGACAGTGTTCAGAGCAGCACTGGACTCTTCTCATTATTCTAAATAAACCTTTTAAACTTTCCCCTGGTCTCTCTGTGTTGGCTTTCTGCATGTGGGTCAGAGCACTTGATAAAATCATGATAGTAGCAACAGACATTGGAGAGGACACCTACAGCAGAACCAGGCTCCGTGTGAGAGGCCATCTGCTGGTACTGAGTCATTTGTTTAGGCCTGATTCAACTGTAATCATTGTTAAGGATTCTGCTCTTCTTGTGTAACAGGCTTTTACCTTGCCACTCTACATTAATGGCCAGATAAGCAAAGTTCCTGACCAATATATAATATAGAATACTGTTAGGGAAGCCAAGGTCAGAGGATAATGGGTAAACTAATTTTAGAGGATGAAAAGGCATCGGGAGTAAAAAAAATGATCGCTTAAACCAAAATATGTAGAGTCCAATGTCTGAATATGTAAATAGTGGCAAAGAGAACCACAAACTTAGGCTAAAGATAGATTAGCTGAGACTTCTTGGGCCCCTTAATATCAAGTTAGTACTATGTCACAGCTTACTTAAGTGTTTTTAGCTGACGATGTTGATCTCTGTATGACCATATTGTTCTCATCTACTGGTCAGTATAAAAAGCAAAGCTGTCTAGGACTGTTTTCTTAAATATGACAAAGTAGCCTACACCACTGATTAACACTACATTACCAAGATCTGAATTCATAGAACAGCTTAGGATTGTGGTGGAGCATGGGATTTGCATCATATCATCAGAAGTGCATTGGTAAAAAATTCCACTGTTTCGCGCTGTTATCATGTCAGTATGGATTATATTATACAATGAAGATCAAAGCCAGTTATGATTTCCAATGGGGGACTGAGCCTCATGCCAGCTTGGGGTTTCTAATCATGGCTGGTCAGTAATGTATTTTCTCAGCTTTTTGTTGCATCATATTTAAAATTTAGGATGTTGGCAGGACTTTGGTTTCTTACTGAGACTTGGGCTACAAAAAATATATTGTTTAGTCCAAATTACACAATAGATTGTATGAGTTTAACTTTTTATTTTTGTAACGTTCTATTTTTTCCTATCTTTTTGCCAGAACAGGATCCGAATTTGTTTTAAAATATAAATCACTGAGTGACTTGAACAACGCATACAACATGGAAAGACCTGTATGAAGAAAATGACATTTTATTAGCAAGTCATGAGAACGAAATGTACAATTTGCCTTCGCCATTTAACAAATTGTTCAGAAAGAAAGAGACACGCCCCGCCTATAGGGTTAGGACCTATCTCTGTACTGACGTCCTGTCTGAGGACTGAGCCAGTCCTGCACGCACGCTGGTGTTGCATTTAAAACCAGTCGCGGACCATTTTTATTTGTTTTTCCCATAATCAATCATCCACTGTCATTAATAAAATATTTTTTTGTTGCATCCATAAGAACTTGAGTGAAAAATATAAATGTACTTTTATTTTAGAAGTCACATCAATTAATGAAAGCACGATACAATTAAATCGTCAGAACTTCAACTTTTCGCATAAAGTCAAAGTTTTAGTATAAATAGTTTCTGTATAAAGGTACCAGTATGAGTACATACTTTTAATATTTCAAACGTTTAGCATAAAATTGGTTTGTTTATGTTTTCTATCAAAAAGGACTTTCAACTCTAACTGCGGTTTTTATATTTCCAATTTTTACTCTCAACATTAAACTCACCACTCGGGAGCTTTACTTACGTCAGCTCTGCGTCAGGGGTAGTTATATCAGGACCTTGCCGGTTATTACTTCCTTGCAAACTGTGGTCGACATCTTTCACGAAGCTCATCTGACATTTTCTTTATAAAGCTCCTTCAGAATATAACGCAGGTAAGATGTTTCCCGTGGGCTTTATGTACATTAAAACTATCATCTTATCTTGTAAAACACCGATAAATTTGTAATATTTTTTTGCGTTTCCTGTTCTTGGAATTTGAATTCAGTCTGTTTTATAATATCAAAACAACGTTTTGACAAAAAGAAAGAAATATATAAAAACGCTGTCTACACTAGTAACCTGCATTTCCGCGTGACTTGTTGCCTGCTTCTAAAAGAATGCATCATTCTGTCCTTCATGTCACCTTCTAACAGGCCATGATGAGACCAAATAAATAAAAAAGCTACATGGGCTGCAACTTTTAGATGTGTTTATGGCAACTTAATTGGTTTATGGATTGTTTTTGGGTTCAAGGTATATCCGGTGATAAAATTAAATAAATCTGTTTTTACTGGATCATCTAAACCGTCAAACAAACTGAAACTAACTTTATTTTTTTTTTCTGTTCTGTTTCCTTTACAGCCAAGATGTCCTCGTACGAAGAAGGGAATGACTCAAAATTAATGCGCAAAGTAAAGGAAAATCCCTTTGTCCCATTGGGTGAGTATATTTTGTACCCTGCTTTGTACCCTGCCTGTACAGTAGCTAATCTGTATTGTATTTTTTGCAGGAATGGCTGGATTTGTTGCCATTGTTGGACACCAGCTGTATAAAATGAAAAGTCGAGGGGACACAAAAATGTCAGTACACCTCATCCACATGCGTGTAGCTGCACAAGGCTTTGTGGTAGGAGCCATAACAGTAGGTGTGTATCATGTTTTTAGTTGGCTGCTTTTATATTAGATATATCTTTTGGTGCATTTACAATACATTAAATATAAAAACATATACTCGGCATGAAGAACACAGGCTCTTTGCTCTATTTGCCTCCTTTGCATATTTGACAGTGTTAACAGATTTGATTAAATTAGGCTGCGATCCCTCAAACTGTAGGGGCAGATTATATTTCTGCAACCGCACACATCAAATGTCGCTTGGGTCTGGTTGTGAACCAGTTTTGCTGGTATGCTTCTGCACCGTCGGTCTGGAATTTCTAGGGATGCACAGCAGTTTACCGCCAAAGCGAAAGGGGGAGCCTATTGGAGAACTCGTGAGAACTTTGGCGAATGGTCATGAGAACTTCGGTGGCATTGGCAGGAGGGTTTATCTTCCAAAACAACAACGACGTGTCTGCAAGATATCAGGGTCACGGAGATGGATCTAGAGTTGCTAGACATCGAAGAGGCACAGGTTCTGTTAGTAGAGTTGGCAAAAACCCATTAACCTTTTGTTGTAGTTGTCCATGGTAGTTGTTCCTGGGTGTTTAAAAATGGCGTGCCCCAACGCCGAATTGAGAAAGATGACAACACAGACAGCCAGAAAGACATACCAAGGACCAATCACAGCTGCTTTTTGTCTGCGCACTTCCGCATGAGTTCTGCGCGGGTTTGCGTCTGCCCAATGCATAATCAGGATTTTTTTTGAGGTGCTCAACAATGATTGCAGGGCGTGGTCGCGCACAGAGACAGATTCGACGGGTGCAGGGGCTATGCTTCAGAAGTATAAATTGGCCTTTATTTATATATATATATATATATATATAATATTCATAACAGTGAGTTGATGTGTATTGTTCACTAGTTTTCCCAGATTTAAATGTTGGCAAAAAAGTTTCTGTGGCTGCCTGTGAACTGAAACTTGGCTTCACCCCTACAGTTACATGCTGTTTTTTAGAGGCTAAGAAACACACATGGCTCTGTAGCTGTTCTGTGAGATCTCAACAGAAAAGGGAGAAATGAGGCAATATTTTCGATGTTTTCAAAGCAGTGACTCTGTAGCTTTCAACATATCTCCACACTTTTGGTGTTTTAGTTTTTAGCTCTTGCAGAAAATAACATATCTATAATATAGTCATATTATGGTTATGTATTACCAGATAAATATTTTCACATTTACAAACCTGTTTTTCTTGCAAGGCACTAGAAAGCATGGAAAATGGACAAAACAGGAAATATGCATAGCGTTGAGCGGATGTAGATTTGACCAATCAGAGGCCTCCTGTCTGTGGTCACCTACAATTTGGGAGAGGTGCAGCAGATTGTGTGCAGAAGGGGCGGGGGCATATTGGTGTTCACAGCGACACCTATGCAGATTACCTGGTCTGTGAATATAAACCAGTCTTAAGCCAATAGCCTTGCTGTGTATAACATAGGTATTAAAAGATGACATTAGTTTGAAAAATTTCCACTTACCTAAATTTGTCTTTCCTCTACAACCTGGAAATGAATATAAACATTCTTTCAACCAGTTGACTTGCAGTGTGCTGCAGCAGGAGTCAGGGTACTATTAGGGGGTGCTTCATGGTGCTGAATTAAGCTTCAGTCACTGCTGTAGGTACTGTAGGGCATGTGAACGAAAGAACATTCCACTAGAGGCACCATATGGTGAAAAATAATGTAGGTGGGCTCAAAGCAGGAATATTTTAAAACATTTGTACATATCAACTAGGGCTGCAACAACGAATCGATAAAATCGATAAAAATCGACTTTTAAAAGCGTTGGCAACGAATTTAATCATCGATTAGTTGTGTCGCGCGATTAATGCGTCATCCGCCGCCGCCGTCATCCCGGGGAAGAAAAAAATATGGCGGAGCGAGTCAGCGCCGCAGTTGCAGCGTTGACAACTCAGCGACTTTTCAGACCCCTCCAGCGACTATTTCTTTAAAAAGCTACTAGCGACAAATCTGGCGACTTTTTTCTGTGTCACTGGCGGCTTTTGGAGACTCTTACGTGAAAGCATGTATCGTTCCTACTCTTCTCCTCCAGCGGCAGCTGCTGCCGTGGGGCGCCTCCCCCATCCCAACCCCTTTCTCTCTCTCCCACAGGAATCCCTCTCAGCGGGGCAGTCAGAGCCGCAGGATTTTAGTGAGGAGTTTACCCTCAGCGTCCAGCCTGCAAATGAAGCGCGCATGCCCCGGGATTGACGGCGCAAATTGATCACAATAATTAAAATAGCCTGCGCTTTGTAAAGTGAAAAAAGTCGTAACATGCAACTTTTGTAAAAACAAATAAACATGGCACAGAAGCACTACTGTTATGACGCAGCACCTGAAAAGAAAACACGTTGGAGCCTTCAATGGCAGTGAAGAGAGCTCATCAGCAGGATGAGTAACCATGTTTGTTTCATTTTAAAGTGGGGAAACGTAACGTTAGTTTCTCAGGTAGCTCATCTGATGCTTTCCTTACCTTGTTAGTAGGTTACAGACAGTGATAAGGTTGGCTACTTATTTTACTTTTAATTTCATTTGAATTAGCTTAAGCAGCGTTTATATTTTCTTTATAAATAAATTAATTTGCAAATTATGAGGGCAAGGCTTTTAAAGTTTAAATCTTCTGGCAAAGATAAAGTAAAGAAGATCCTGCAATTTATGGAAGTAAAGCAGAATAAAATCCAGCAAGATCAGTAATATGTCAATTAATTATCTGCCACATTCCCATGTAAATATCTGTCTTTGGAGGATGTGTTTTTTAGCACCCCTAGTTCTCTCATTTTTATTCCAAATACAATTTATAATTTGAATCACAGGGCTATTTTTATCTCTATGGTTCAGTATTTTCTCAAGTAGCAACTTTAACTGCTATACTTTCCTGTCTTAAAAGGCAGAACTCTTCTAGTCTATAAAAACCTCATTTGTTGAAATGGGGGGGCCTATTGTTTGAACCCCTTAGGGGCTTTAAAAAACAAAAATGCCTGTCTCTTTTTGCGCTTTATGAAACAAAATACCCTATATTTTGTGGATGTACAGCTACATTTCTCATGTAAGTTTGCGTAGTTTTAACACAAACATTTATTTTTCATATTGCACCAGTACAGTTAATGAGAAACCTGTACTTGCGTGCTTGTTTGTTCTGTCTAAAATGTTTATTTTGGAATGAAAATATATAAAAAATATTTTGTGTCCGATTCATCGATTAATCGAAAAAATAATCGGCCGATTCATCGATTTTCAAAATAATCGTTAGTTGCAGCCCTAATATCAACCTCTTTCCATTTGTAATTACACACATGTTCATGCAGAATGATTCTCCTTAAAGAACATTAAAGGATGTGGTAAGCAGATAATTATTGTCAATTTTCTGCACTTGCTGGAAGTAGAGGGTGTCATCGTAAAAGATAATTTTTTAACCAAAATGACAGAATTAGAAAATAATCAAGCCTAAATCTAAAATGGGTCTGAGAGGATCTTAGGGAAAAAAGATAGCCCTGTTATATTATTGCTACAGTTGCTCATGGTCATATAGATTGGGATTAGTCTATAGTTTCCTAATAACTTTTTCCTATCCACTTTCACAAGTTCCCCCCACCTTCTCTGCTCCTTTATAAACATCGTCACTAAAGCCGGGCTTACTCTGTATGATTTATTTTGCCGATTTTCCAGTCGTGCCAGAATGTTTCGATGGGGCCGAGTATCAGCCTCGTTGTGCGTCCTGTGTCTCGTATTATACAGGGAGTAACGGAGGGCGATTAGCTTCTCACGACCACCTCCCATTTAGGTGGTCGTGTTTGGAATTCAGTCGGTCGTCGTAAGATTGCGTAAGAGCGCCAGGCTGCACAGTGTGAGAACATGAATTGTGAGCTGTGAACTTTTAAACCCTACGGCTTCGTCGTACAGGTTGATCTGTAGCTGCGTGCAACAAGTGAGAGTATCGCACAGTGTATGCCCAGCTTAAGATTTACATCAGGTTTGGATTTAAAGGACAGTAAATGTCAGCTGAATTAGCCAAAAACATTAACAAACAAAATTGTAATAAATTGTTAATATATTCCTAAATACTACATTTAGATAGTATGCATTGCAAATCTAACCTATTTAGGTTAGAATTATTGTAGAGAATCAATGCTGTTCTTAGTTATGTAGGGACCTACTTAGCAGTATGTGGGTTTAAATATTGTTCTTTTTTTCTCTAAAAATCCAGTATTATTTTGATTTCTGTTAGAAATCTGAGCCGCAGTTGACGTTTTTAATCTGTTTGTGAACAGTTGTACAAGCCCCAATTCAACTCACCAGTTTGTTTTCTTTCTTCTTTTGCAGGTGTCTTGTATTCAATGTACAACCAGTACATCAGGCATCCCAAAGAAGAGCAGAATTCTGAGAAACACAATTAAAAACTGAATCTTACTGTCAAACGTCTGTGGAATTACCGTAGGACCATCATTTCTAGATGTGCATTTAGAAGCTAATCAGTGACTAAAAAACAACCCTATGGCACATCACTTTTTAAAATTGAACATTAGTGGCCACCAGCTTATGGGTGTAAGATTTGGTTCTTGGGTGTAAGATTTGGTTCTTTATTTGGCAGTCTTTCAAGTGTAGCGTAAGGGATGTTTATGTAGGAGATGCCCACACTGATATGTAAATTGCATAAAACTATTTGTAGCAGATAAACACATGACTCAATGTATGTCAAGGCCAAATTAAAATAATTTGTGTTTTAGCCTGCTCTTTTTTTCATTGTCCTTGTTTTAATCCCCAAAGCACCCTAAGAACATTTTAACAGATTTCTGCCAGTAACATATAATATATATAAATATATATTTGTTTATTGTTTTAAATCAAGTTTCTGGTAGAATATTTTGGGGTTTTTAATTCATTCATATGTACTGTACTGTACTGTAACAAGGTCTCCTTTTTTCATATTTTGTTTTGCTTCTGCTTGTTATGAAAAAAGTGCAATCTATTTAGTGATAACTCTTATTCAAAGCATTTACAGTCTATTACTGTTTGAGTACATAGCAGGCTTTTTGTAAAAGTCACCCTCATTTCCTTACTTAATTATAAATTGCTGCTGTGTATACACCCCTATTGTGTGCTTTCAATTAATGTTTTTTTTAGTTTAAAAATGCATTCTCTGATATACTCTGCAAATTGTTTGACTGACTTTAGGCAGCAACAGATTACAGAAAGCTACTTCTGTTTCAAACCTGTCACCTTTTTTCAAATAGTGAACCCCTGCTCCCTCTAACTTAAAAATGTTTGGTATTCTTTGAAATAAACACAACATATAAAAACTGCTGACTTTGCACTGTGCCTGTTATAAAGGTGTTTTTAGAAATTGCTGTAAAGATTTTTATTTGGCAACATGAACTGTTTAGCGTTTACCTGACATTCAGTAAGTGTTGTGCAACAGCTGGCTGCATCACTTTGAGCATGGATGGAATTCCAATGTAAAAATACCGCTTGGGTACGTTTGTCAGCATGACTCTGCAAATCTTGAAAATTTCTTAAGTCTTTGTTGAATATATAGGCGGTATCTTTAAAGTCAGATTTAATAAGGGGGCCATTCTTAAATTCAGACCGAATAGGATGAAACTCATTTGGCTCTTCTAAAGGATGGCATTTTATAATAAGATAGTTGATCATCCTTAAAACAACACTTAACAAACTCAGGTATGAGTTACTCTTTAGTATATTGGTATGCATCAGTGATATGCATTCAAACTGTAGCATTTCCACAAAGTGCTTTATATGTTGTCTTTAATCTGCATTGCAGAAACAAACCTCAGGATAACGAATTTAATGAAATTGGTCACAGAAAGAGACTGCAAACAATAAAATATAAATGGAGGAAACTTGGGTAACTCACTGTTTGCCTTGTGTGTTGTCTCAACAAAAATGTAGCCTAAGAGTTTTGTCTTGATTGTGAAAAAGGACTAATTGTTGTTAAAAACAGCAAGCAAAGCAAATTGGAAAATACATTAATTTTCATGCTGTCTTAAAGCGGAGAAACTTAAATTCTAGCGTGTATCTTTTACAATTATATATTCATTTGATTAGTTAATGCCAAAACTGAAGTCTCCAGATCTTTTTTTTTTCTTCTATAAAAATAAACATACCATAGAAATCTGTGATAAGTTATCTAAAGAGCTATCTCATTGATGGGAAGTTTCTGCTATTCTGAATTTTACTAATTAAAATAATAACAAAGGCTCCCTTGTGTAGTGGATCCCTCGTCAGCATAACAACACAGCAAGTGATACCAGGTGTGTTTACTCTCACAGTTTTTACCAGGAATCAAGACATGGAAAACAGCCCAAACAGGGTAATAAAATGTGGGCGTGTCATGGATGAACTGCTAAGAAGCATTTAAGGTTATTCCCGCCCCTGTTGAATACATTCATTCAGAAATTCATAGTCATTGTGGAATTCTGTTACATGCTGCAACTTGTTGGTGAAATCTACTTGTGTTTTATAGTCTGCCTTATCACATATTTATGTACATTTGAAAAAAATGGAAAGCTGTTGGAAAGTTGTAGTTACTGTTACTGCATTTTATGATTCAGGCATCTTTCTGCTGATCATTTGGAGTCCATACTTAAATAAACACTCTTAACATCCTGTAAACGTAGGCCCACACATCTTGGGTCTCTTAATTTAAAGATTGCTTTAACAATATAGCACCTCTCCATGCTCTAAACCTTTTGCCACTATGTGTCTATGACTCACAGGGCAGAAGAAAATGGATCAACATGTTCCGCTCGGCTGTATCGTGTTTCTCCATCTCCAGCACGGATGTCACGTCTCTGCTGTATTCATAACAATGCAGCCTAGGGGGAGCCGAGTCAGCATGACTGTGCACAGTTTCCCTCATTAGCATTCATTTAGGTCTTTGGTATTTAACTAATGAATCTTGTTAAAAAAACATTTTAACATATCCATCTATATACAACATGTCTATGCCTGACCTGTTTCTGTGGATGAAAGATAGACGTGTGGATGGTAATGTCCATCAATGAAAATCATATATTTACCATCACATATAAAAGAAAGCATATTCCTTAATTAATATTGGTTATGATTTATAAAATATTGCCAAATTGTTCTGCACTGTCAATTATTTTACTTGTAAAATAAAAAAAGACAAAAAAAATATATATATATTAAAATTGCTATGGATCCCATTATGTCATTTATAAAAGACAAAATGGAAATGTTTGTAAAAAGTTAGGTAGGTAAGAACCATGACTAAAATAAACGCACTATTTTGAGCACAATGAGGCTTGCCATTTTTTTCATTTATCCATTTGCCTTACTGATTATTATCATTTGCTCATTGTTTTCATGTGTAGTTTAAATAATTAACTGTGTTTAAAACTATTAAATTCAAATAGTGCATCTTTACTAAACATGTCAGCCTGAAGCAGTTTACAAAAAAAATAATTCTATCCAAGCATAAATCGAGTTTTTAAGTCAAATACATACTTTCCACATGAATCCAGGTTATCAAATGATACAATCAAGATTAATTTGTCATTCAAACGGGTTAAAAGTGTTCTATGATATGTAAAATTCTGTATTGAGACAGCGACTTGCAGCAGCATAAAGTATTATAGTATGTTTACACTTTACAGTGGTAAAGTGTTTAAACACCAACACTTAAGTTTCATATATGCAAATATAGGCCTCAACCGAAGGACTAAATTGTTCAAGCCCACATTTAATCAGCTGCTGTTAAAATATTGAGATTTTTATTTTTATTTTTTTAACCATCACCGGTTTTCTCTGTTAGTTTTTAGCTAATTTACCCGCAAAATGTAATATCAGAACCCTGAGCAAGATGGCCGCTGTAGTGGGGTATTTTACTCAGAGCACGTATTTTCCTGTTCCCGCGAGATCGCGTTTAAAGTCACTTTACTTCTGTTGTTATAGCGACGAGAGCGTCTCCTTCAGGAAGCTAGGTGTTACATTTTCAACGTTTACAGAACATGCATTTAAAATCATATAATTCGGTTAAGCTCCTATATTAATTAAAGGTAGGTTCATCTCTGTTTTACAGTTTTTGTAACTTATAAGATTTCGGTCAAAATGTCAAACTAATTTATATTTGCATAGAATTGTCAACTTGTAGGTGAGTCATAAGGCGTTTCCTTTACTAGCACAATGTTCACTGTTCTAAACGATCTTTTACAAGATTGTCTGCACATAAGTGTAAATAACAACATATCATTTAAGAAATATGTTGTGCTAAATTCTTGAACCACTGATGAATTCTAAATATCTTGCTTCCAAGAAGATGGATTTACCTGATATGTGATAGTTTCTGGGTTTTAAAATATAGGATTTTTCATAATCTTTTTATATATCTTCATTTTTAAGTATATGGGGAAGCATGTGTTTATTAAATTGAAGAAGAATAGAGAAGTCTAGTAGAAGCAGAAATCCTAAAGCAGATGACTAGTTTTCTGCAATTTATGTATTTATGCAGCAAAGACCTGACAAAGGTCAGTTTTAACATATTTTTGATACTATATAGTTCATGTTAACCATTTAGCTATATTAGCCATCTAATTAAAGTCTCATTAGTGGTAGATTAGTGCTAGAAATTTCCTTCATATATTATACCTTTATCCAGACAGATCTGTGAGATTAAAACTGCTTTCCAAGAGAACCTGGCCAAGAATTGCAGCAGAACACATTTTTAAATACACATTGCAGACATTAAAATGCATTTAAGATGCATGAAGCAGCAAAGCTTCTGATCCATCTGAGTGCCTATGGTAGCAATGCTAGGCCCTTTTGAATTAAACAGCACAATTAAAGAAGGTGGCCAGTTATTTGATCATAAGTCAGTCAGGTAATCATAAGGTAGTTCCTAATCGATCGCTTAAAGTTAAGCTGTAGATAGTCAGTAACAAGACTGAAAATGAGTCTTAAAGAAACCCTTAAAAGGCTCTTAGTCTTCATAGCTTTTTAAACACGTTTAGCAAAAAAAAAAAAAAAATTCATGGTACTCTTTAATTGTTGATACTTGCATGAGCCTTAAAACCAGTGTTCCTTATTACCTCTGCAGTTTTAGTAACACTTTACTCACAGAGAGCCATGTTTTAGAAGAAATCTCAGGTGAGTTCTATTGGTAACACAGCATTGTTTCCCTCAGCTGTTCTTCTTTTCCTCGCAGTACACCTCATCGTTTGATCATGGATCATGATGAACATTTTCATGACTTGCGTCTTCAGTTCCAAATGCTGCAAAAACAGCAGGACAAAAGAAAACTGGATTTGAAGAAGAAGAAAGAACAGAGCAATTTCAATGTGACTGATTCACAGGAGGATTTGGATCTGTCAAAGCAAGACATTCTGGAAGGCAGTGCAGTGGTTAGGTAAGTGTTATACTTACTTAATCTGGCATTATACTTTATATAAACTACCGTTTAAACGTTTGGGGTCACATTGAAATGCCCTTATTTTTGAAGGAAAAGCAATGTACTTTTCAATGAAGATAACTTTAAACTAGTCTTAACTTTAAAGAAATACACTATACATTGCTAATGTGGTAACTGACTATTCTAGCTGCAAATGTCTGGTTTTTGGTGCAATATCTACATAGGTGTATAGAGGCCCATTTCCAGCAACTATCACTCCAGTGTTCTAATGGTACAATGTGTTTGCTCATTGGCTCAGAAGGCTAATTGGTGATTAGAAAACCCTTGTGCAATCATGTTCACACATCTGAAAAAGGTTTAGCTCATTACAGAAACTACGAAACTGACCTTCTTTTGAGCAGATTGAGTTTCTGGAGCATCACATTTGGGGGGTCAATTAAACACTCAAAATGGCCAGAAAAAGAGAACTTTCATCTGAAACTCAACAGTCTATTCTTGTTCTTAGAAATTAAGGCTATTCCATGTGAGAAATTGCTAAGAAATTGAAGATTTCCTTCCTTCAGAGGACAGCACAAACATTTATATCTATATATATATATATATATATATATATAGGTGTGGTGATTGTGTTTTTTCTGTCTCTCAAAGTCTGTTACAGCAGCAAAATCAGACTCTCTTGGACCAAGTGCGAGAGCTCAGAGATGAAAATGGTCGACTCTTCAAACTTCTGAGCGAGAAGGACTTTGAGATGAAACATCTAAAGAAAAAAAGAGATGAAGAGAAACTGGCTTTAGCTGGTACAAGCAGAGAAGTTTGATGTCCTTTACACATGGCAGTTAATTGCACTTCATGATTATCTTTTTAATCTTTCCTTTAGGAACATCAGGCTTGACTGGAGTTGTAGCTGCCACCAAGATTGTTGAACTTTCCAAGAAAATTAGAGAGCTGACTGCAGAAATTGAGCAAGAGAAGATTCGATCCAAGCAAAACAGGAACAGGATCCAAGAGCTTGAGAAAGAGGTAAATTATTGTTTAATTGGATTTATTGGATGAAGAGATGGTATAACAGGATAAAACTGAGAAAGGAATATTTGGTATAGCTGCAAGGTGCTTTGGAGAACTCTGTACCTGGGCGGAAAAAAACACAGGATAAGAGCTCGTCTGAAGACTGTGAGGTAAACAAAAACGCAGTCTGCCTTTTATATACACTGCTTACACCCTTAGGTTATAGCAGTTTATTTTAAATCACATAAATTTTTCAACTGAGCAACAGGAAAATCCAGTGGTCAAGTCCCTGCAGGAAAGATTGGCAGCTGCTCAGCTGAAAGTGACAGAATATCGTAACCAGGTTCAGTCTGCAAAACAGGAGCTGAAAGTTGCTCAGAAGGTAAGCTGATAAGTTTTTTCCAACCTATTATGCATATAGTATTTGAGTTCATGATAGAAGTTCATTTGAAATGATTTACAGAAGGTATTTTAACACTTTTGTATTAAACCAGAGAATGAAATGTTCTTATAAGAATGTCCTGGCCAAGACCGATAAAGTGGCCTCCATAATTTTAAATATCGGCCAATACATAAAATTCATTGTTAGCACTTTACTTGCATAGGGCAAATCTCACAGTAAGAAATATGATGTTGAGGAAGATAAAAAAAAAAAAAAAAAAAATACAAAGCTCCCTAGAGAACAGCAGGAATTTGTCTATTGTGAGATCTTGGTTCAATAAGGCTGAAAAAAATGATACCTTTGTTTTCAGGATTTTTAAACCTTTTTTCTAAATTAGATGTGAAGTGCTGTAGTGGCTGAAATGCCTCCACCAAAAAAACAAAACAAAAAAAAACATTAACAATATTGTGGCTTCTTTATTACTGCTTTTACACCCTGTGATCGTGATGCATGTTTATTGTCTTGTTAATCTAAAAATAAACTGTTGCAGGTTTTACTGAGTGAAGTTGGAGAGGAGGTCAACCTTCAGCAGGTACTGAACAACCCAGGGAGCTTTAGAGGACGGTCCCAACAGATTCTTGCTCTCCAAACAAGGGTAAGCTAGAAAAATTAGCTGGACTCCTAATTTGCATCTTAAAGTTACTCTTATTAAGAATTTTAAAAGTTCATTTATTGAACTCCCACCATGCATTTGTATATGTGAGCACAAGCACATAAATACTTTGATCTGATAGCAGTCCAGTATTTTTTTCTCCTTTATCTAGCTGAGATTACACACAGATTACAGATTAGGAGGTAATTCTAGCGCTGTTTGTGATTTGAGGTTGGGTTGATATGAGAAATAAAATGGTTGTCCCGCCTTAAACCTTGTTTGATTCGTATTTATGGAGGGAATGTTTCTCAGACTGTAAAAAGAAAAAGAAAAAACTTTTAATTATTAGCAGGATTTATGTTTAACAAAGTCATTGATACTATGATAAATTGCAGAGGATCATCTTATTTTTAGGTCCACCTGATAAACAGCAGTGACTGCAATCGTAGTTTTTTTATTGCATTTCTTTCACAGCAACGCCCTCTTGGGCAGTTATCTAGGTCTCCTGATTCAATGGCACAGAATCAACACAATTTCCAAATAAGGTAACAGAAAACAATAGATGTAATTTCACAGAACAATTTGGCACACATTTTCCCACACAGTTAACAAGGAATTTTACATCCCTTCTTACATATAACAGACCACCCAGATACTATTTTCTATATCTCTAACAACCAGAATACATCTGTGTGTGGTGACTCTCAAAGCTCAGTCTCCAGCTGCTTGAATTCCTTATGAAGCTCCCGGACAATAGATTTGCTTTACAGTTCAATGTTTAGTGTTTTTTTTTATCAGTTTTTCCTTTCAATAAACTGTAATTACATTTACCACCTGTGAAAGGTAAGTCAATGAAGGGGATTCTTTGCTGTGCAACTATCAAATCAGCAGTCCCATTTTTTCCCATGATTGTAGAGGCCATCTCATGTTCATAGAGTACAGTCCTGTGTTTTCATCAAATGGATGAAAACACAGGACAGTGGAAGCTCATAAACGATATCTACTATCTGTGTAAAGATGTATACAAGTTAAATTGCTGAAAAATCAACATTGGCAATATTTTGAATTGCTTTAGGCCTCTGTTTGTCATGTAAAAAAAGAAAATGCCTGAATTTATACAACAGGTGCAGGAGCTTGAGCGGCAGCTGTGCCACCAAAGACAGTCAGGGATTCCAAGTGGAGAGCAGCAGTTTCCTGCCCCGGGGGTCAATCATAAATCCCCTTCCCAAAATAGGAACCTGAACTACATCCGGACCATCGAGAAGGAAAAGCGGGAGTCATATGAGGTACTTCTAGAATAAATGTATTTGAAAACAAAATGAAAGGTTAAGATACTCTTTTTATTCCATTTCTTTTTGGGGGGTGTGCAGAAGCTCTCAGCAGATTATGAGGCCCTTTTGAAAGAATGTGGGGATGTGAAGAAACAGCTAGAAGCTTCTAAAGCCAGGAGCAGAACTCAGTCGGAGGAAATTAAAAATCTGAAAGTGCAAATTTCTTCCCTGCGGGAGAAAAGAAAACATGATGACGAGCTTGTGGATGTCTTGATGGTAAACATTTAGAGAAGACAAAAGTAAAAAAAAGAAAAGCATGTTGTGGGTCCTTCAATTCCCACAACCTTGTTTTGTTAACCTCTGTCAGAAACGGGAGAGCCAGATGCAGACGTTGCTAAAGCAGCTCAGCCGACAGCAGAGCGAACAGAGCAAGGAGGATAAACAGAACCCGAGACAACAGCTGGGCAGTGTGCCTCTAGAGCACAACAAGCTGATCCAGAAGCTGAAGCTTGTTGTTGCAGAGAAAGATGCCACAATAAGAGAACTGCGGGAATTGTCCAATCAGGTAAAAAAAAAAAAAAAAAAAAAAAAAAAAAAACTATTAAAGCAAGTCAAGCAGTCATTGTGAAAAAAAAAATCTGCCTTCTGGCAATAATAACTGTTTTTGTACTAACTGAAGGAAGAGAGGGTGGACAGGCAGTCAAGCCCAAAGATAAAAAGCTGCAACTCAAGAATTTGCCCAGAAGATGGAGACAGTATCAACAGAATAACACCCTCAGAGTATGTCTTACCATTATAGTTATGAGATTTAATTGATTACATTCCTCATTTATTATACGAATTAAGCTCTAGAAATTAGCAAATTATATAAAATGTTAATATAGAGTGAATTTTTTTTACTGGTAGGGTCGTCTTGAATACTGTCTTGAAGACTTTTTTACTAAGGATAACAACTAATTCAGTTTACTGATGGTTTTATAATTCCTTACTTCCTCTTATTCCAAAATAACATAAAAACAAAACAAAAAAACACTGGAATTTTTTCCAAAGTTTCAGGATGTTTCCCATCCAGAAAGCTTTTTCACTTCAAAATGGCAGAAATAGCATTGAGTTGGAGGCTTTATAGAATGAACCAAAAACAAAGCCTTGTTTTGGTTTAGAAAGCATGCACATTTTTGACATTTGAGGACAAAAATGTTCTCATTTTGGACAAAGAAGACAGATGGTTTGAGAGGGGTGTGAAGGAAGCCATGTATGTTAAGAAATAACAACCTTAAACAGAGGGGGTGGACTCAGATTTCAGCTTTCAAAAACCTACAATGCAGCGATAGAATCGATTCCTTCTCGCCGTCATTGCAATCCCCACCCCATACAGGGGAACAGAACATCTCGCCTGTTCAGCCAGGCCAACAATTTCACAGGTATCTGGTATTACAAGCTAACAAAGAACCCAAACAACTACCCATTCCGAAGGGGCAGAGCCGTTCGTTCAATTCAATTTGCATATTTTCTAAGCCAAATAAAGGCTTTGTTTTTGGTTCACTCTATAAAGCTTTGAGCTCAACCCTATTTCTGCCATTTTGAATTTAAAAAGCTTCCTGGATGGGAAGAGAAACGTCTTCAAACTTAGAAAAAAAGTCCAGTATGTGTTTTTAATTTTTTGGAATGACTATGCCCTAGATGACAGAGATTCTTCACCAGCATATTTTCCTCTACTCTTTTTTTTTTTTTTTTTTTTTTTTTTTCAGTTCATTTTCTAAATTAGGTCATAAATTGGTGCGCGATGCTATGGGAGGTGGGATGGACATAAAGTAAGTGAGCAGTATAATATCTATTTATTATTGCTCTCATTTTAAATATGAAGTTATTTTAATCAGTGGTACATTAATCAAAAAATTTGAAATTAAAAAATTTGATCTGTTCTCAGAAGCGATTCAAAATGTCCTCAGTGCTCAGCTGATGTGAGTGCTCTGATCACCCAGACCAGTACATATAAAACCCTCAACATGGAGAAAGACAGACTCCTGGAACTGGTTGAGGTCCTACAGATCAAGTAATGTACCCTATTTTTAGTTTGTCTGCTTGAATCTACTTCCTTGAGAAATGCTCCCCATTCTCTTCAATCCGTGAATATAGTTAGTCGAGGCAATATCGGCAAGGCTAGTTTATTTTATGTAGCACACTCAAGTGGCAAGGCAATTCAAGGTGCTATAAACAAGGAAAAAAGAAAGACATTGCAGTGGCATAAAGGCTAAACAAATATTTCCAGAGAATAAAAGTGACACATCAAAATAAGATGATTGTAAAAAGGATCAAATTATTGATTAAAAAGGGATTAAGGATATGGAGTGAAAATCAGACTAGAAATGATCTCATCATGTGCCTTTGACATCATACCTCTGTGAATAATGTTAGATTCATTGTTCATTAATTACACTGCATTAAATCTTTCCATAGAGTTTATTGGAGTTTTATAGTTTTTAAAGAAGTCCAGGGAGAGAGATATTAAATAGGTGTGTTTGACACAAAATGACACAAAATCTCTATATTGCAGAGAGAAAGACGTGAAGCAAATGTGCTTAGAGGCAGAGAAGAAGTACCACGAAGAGCGCCGCAAGAATGCGATGCTGGAACAGCAGTTGGAAAGGACATTAGATTCATTATAAAAGGACCCTGTAGTGAGCCTGGTAAGGACCATTATAACCAGGTCGCTGGTGCTGCTGGAAAATGCTCTTTTCTAATCCTACAACTAATCAGTTAAAACCTAACCTGCCTCAATCTGGCTGTCATGACTCTGTTCATCATGAGTGGTGGTGCAGGAGCTATAGGGCTGAATAAAGTGTGAACATACAAACTGAACAAACTGGAATCGTAGAAAACAATTTAAACCAGCTATCCTTGTTTGTGTTTTGAGCTGCTTCTGATTTCAAACCTGACAGATATTTTCCACCCATAAAAATGGAACGACTGAAGAAATGTGATGATATGTGGCAGTGGTCTCAGTTCCTATGGACAGGGTTAGTTTCTGCCCCTCATATGTTGCCTGGTTATTGTTTGCTGTCCTCTGGCTGGTCATTCAGCTGGAGGAAACTGTCTCTAAGGGCATCTTGAAAGAGCACTCTCAATCTCACTGTGCAGCTTTATGGTGACGTGATGGGACAAGTCAAGCATGTGTTGTTGTTTTTTTTTTTTTTTCTTGGAGACTGTGACAGCATTGACAAGACACTAACCAGGGGAACTGGCTTCTCCCTGCTCACGCTTTATTTCTACTAAGCCCTACCTTCTCCTGTCACATGTGACAAACTGCAGCCTGCAGGAAGCAAGTTGCCCTCAATAGTCACACACACACACTGAACAAAATTCTATATATCTTATTCTCAGTTCAAGTTAGAATGATTTGTAAAGTCATGTCTGGTAACTTCAGGTCGAGGACTATATAGGAACTTTTGAACAGCTTCCTGCTTGACCATGATGGAAGCTGATAATACTTCCTGCTTATTTCAGGGCTAGGTAATAATCTGTTCTTCAGGTTTCAGAGGGAAAGCAGTGATATTATCTCTGCCAGTTGGTCAATGACTGTTTTTGTCACATTCTATCTTGTAAAAAAAATGTTTATTTGCTTGTAACCCTGTGTCAAACATAATAAATGTCTGATTCAGTCAGTTGATACAAACCAGGCTTTTCCCAAAGTTTTTTTTTATACCAGATTGACCTTAATTTTCTTACGTTTTCAGCATTTTCCTCCTAATCTGGTAGTTATTTTTGGTGTTGGATGTTATTGGATGAAATAGCAGAATCCCAGTGACGGTCGCTATTATTCCTGTTAGGGTTCTCCTAATGTTGGATATTTCTGTACAATATAATCTCTAATCATTTCTGACTTGAACCCAGATGTCTGTGAATAGTTGTTAAATGTGAATGCAAACAGACTCCACCAGCTGGCTGAAGTACATTTTTAGAGCACGGTGCAAAAGTACAGTATAAAATCTTAGATCAGTGTTTCAGTGTGTGACTCGAGTTCAATATTTACCATTGAATGTATTTAGACAGAGATAATGACATTTTCTGAAAAAAATAGATCACTTTTTTTGAGACTCAGCAAAATTGTTTTATCTTAGGGATGTTTCTATTTTTTTGTGCTTTACTCCATTCAGCTTTCTTCCTTAGCTCCTCAATTCAGACTTTTCCCCATTCTTTTAATTCTTTCTCATCCTCTTTCCTTCCCTTTCAGTGTTTTCTTCTCTTTCCGTCGTTTTTCAAATGTATACTAATACAACTTTGAAAATTAAGGGAAACCATACAAAAGGTAACAGACTTCATTGCCTCATTTTTATTTTGCTTTTTAAACTTTTCATTTTCTCATTCCTCTTTCCTTTCTTGCCATTTCTTTACCCTCTTCTTCGCTCTATTTCTCCTACTCTTTATATGCTTATTTCTCCCTTTTAATGGTCCCTTGCTATTTCCTTCCTTCCCCTCCTTTATTTGTCATGCATTTTTCCTTCATTCATACATTTTGTTTTCCTTATTCTGTCCTTGCTACCTGTCTTCTCCAGATTTTATATTTTACTGTAGCCTCAAAGGAAATGTCTGTAGTATTTTGATTAAAACTTTTTTATTCAGACTAAACAAAAAATGCCATAAATGAGCGGAAGATAGTTCGTTTTTGTCTGGGTAAAATATATTTACAACTATTGTTAACCTCTTGGTCTTTCAAACCAAACAATCCTGCTGATGGAAGTAGCATCTGGATACACACTAACTCGGGTGTTTCAGCTGTGAAAGCCATCCTTCCCTCCCGTCGTCTCACCATCACGCTTAATTTAAACCCATGGCTGACTTAGTGTACTGATTCAAATACTGCACTGTCTTCCAGCACCCTGTGGGAGATTGGCAGGTCCCATTTGCACCTGGTAAAAAAGCCACAAGACAAAAATATCAGAGTTTTGGAAACGATAAAGACAGCCGGTATGTTCAGAGTAACAAACATGTTGTGTTTCTTATTTTCTTTATGGAAGCTGAGAAACCTTTTTATTATGTGATAGAGAGTTGGAGGCAGTGGATGAGCAGATTAGATCCAATACTTATATAACATTATACATATGAGCAATTTGTGGTTTTAGCCCTTCATTCCACCTAAGTCCTGGAAGGGGTTTGAATTCATGTAAAGATTTTTTTCTACATCCACCACAAAACAGTTACGGTTAGAGTTAAATCTATAAGAACATTAGATGTATGTGTAAAAACTGACTGCTAGGAACAAGTCAAGTACTTCCACCACTTCATAAGCTTTTATACAAAGCTTCCTACTGTTTCCCACTGAGGTTACTGTAATTTCAGGTAAACTAATTTTACAGCTTAATGCATCTGCTCTTGTTGACTTCAGTTATTTTGGAGTGTCATCACCTTTAAATAAATTACACTTCGACAGACAATTTTATTCTTGTTTTATGTAGCTGTATTACGCAGAAAGGTGTAGATTTATTCCAAAATGCCCAATAAGCCACCAAACCAAACACAAACTTATGTAAACACAGCATGCGTAAACAGCTTCGGCTATTTGTCATTCCAGCTTTGAATGACTCCTTTCTCTATCGTTCTCCACAGAGGTATTCCCTCGTTCTGGACCACTGCTTCCTGCAGACCATTGACTGCATCCAGAAACTAAAGTAAACAGTGCAGCTGTGAACGTCGAGGTTAAAGTTAGCAATCAGTGCACGAGGGATCTGTGAACTTTCCTCAGGCCAGAAAAACAGTTTCCTCCTCTGTGAGTTTATTCATTGCCCTGCGGCTCTCATTTACATGTAATGGAAAGAAAATAAACAGAACAGTCTTAATGTGCTCATTTACAGTAATTAGAAAGCAAGTAACAACTTATCTAAACTTGTATACCAGTAAGTAAATTATAAGACTCTTAATGGCGGATTTATATTTACTGGATCATCCTGTTTTTGTTTTTTTTATTTCCACAAATTTAATTAGCTGGAGTCTCACTAGAGGGCAGTGCAGTTGCTAATGTGTGGTGTTTTACTCTAGCTTAGTAAGAAACTCCTCTTCTAACACTGATCGAACATTGTGGAACCATATATGATCTAAAGCCAACAATTAGAAATAATTTGGTTCCTCAAAATAGGACTCTTTACAAACCTTTAACATTTTATGGATTAAAAAAAACCTAATCATTTCTGCAACTTAACTGTGCTTTAAAAAGTCTTCAGAGCCTTTTGAACCGTTTGTGCATTCTGTCACATTTCAAACCGGACAAACAACCATTCACACACACACTCAAACCTAAGGAGAATTTAGAGAAGCCAAATAACCTAACAGTCATGTTTTTGGACCCAAAGAGAACCCACGCATGCACAAGGAGAACATGCAAACTCCATGCAAAAAGTTTTTAAAAGTCTTTATATAATAATAGTTTAAATTTATTGATCTCACATTGGAGAAATTCACTCCTACATTTAACCAATCCCCTTGGGAAGCAGTGGGCTGCTACTGTGTGGCGACTGTGGGGACCCAGAATGGCAGTACATTGGAGTGGGATTTGAACCCAGAACCTCTGGCACCCAGGTGCAATGCTCTACCCGTTAGGCCACCATCGGTTGTTTTGCAGCTTGTGTTATCATACAACCCTCCCTTAAACCCATCCAGACTTTTGTTCCTGACCTTAAGGTTGGTTTACCTTGTTTTTTTATATGATGCTACTCATTTACTAATAATCTCTAAGAAACTCAAAACCCTTAAAAAAAAAGCAATTGGATTTATCTTTAGATTAAGTAACATTTGTGTTGCCTTTCTTTATTTATTACTGTTATTTCCTTCTGAAGGTAAACAATCAACCAAAATTATACTTAGAGGCATGACAGTCTAAAGGGATGAAATATAATGCATATCAATGGAAATTAATGTACCCTTTATTGATCATTCCCAAATTTCTAATCAATGTAGGCAGAGATGGGAAGTAACGAAGTACAAATACTTCGTTACTGTACTTAAGTAGATTTTTCTGATATTTTTACTTTACTTTACTACTTATTTTTATGGCGACTTTTTACTTCTACTCCTTACATTTTTACACAAATATCTGTACTTTCTACTCCTTACATTTTAAAAAATTGGCTCGTTACTTTATTTTTCAATCATTTCAATGGAGTTACCGTTATTATTTTTCACGTCATCAATACCAAGTTCAATCTAATTGGATGGGAATCTACGTTGCATTTGACGCACCACTACAAGATGAATCGACAGATTCGGCGGTATTCATTGGCGGCAAATCATTGCAGCTTGGTGGCGGTGGCGTTAGCATAGTAGCATGGACGACGAGATGATTGAAAATGAACACAACGGAGATCTAGTCCTATTGGCAGACATCCATTTAAAATGTAGGAAACGGCATGAAAAAAGTGGTTTCTACTTTTACTTTTATACTTTAAGTAAATTTACAAGCCTGTACTTTGTTACTTTTACTTGAGTAAAGAAGTTTAATCAGTAGTTCCACTTTTACCAGAGTATTTTTTAACACAAGTATCTGTACTTTTACTCAAGTATGGAAAGTGAGTACTTTTGCCATCTCTGAATGTAGGTCTAAATCCTTATAATATACATTTAAGCTTGTATGCATAATGTCATCTGAAAAAGTCTAAGCTGTTTGAATATTTTCATATGTTGCTATAATATGCCATACATGAAACATCTTACTGATATTTCAGTTGTTGTACCCTAAGACTATTTGGCACAGCAAGGGTTTTTCAGGAATAATGATTGCTCTTGTGTTGAAGCACAAGCGCAAAGGGCCTCGTATAAAAGGAGTTCAAATTAAAAAAATATATAAAGCTGCATTTCTAGATTGCAGCTAGGCTCTGATGACTAAAACTGCACTGTTTCAGAGAAAACCCTTAAAATTGTTGCAAAAAACTATACAATGAAATATAGATTGTGCTCTGTGCGATGAAAAAAGATTATGAGAGCCTCAAAAATACAGGTGCTGGTCATAAAATTAGAATATCATGAAAAAGTAGATTGATTTCAGTAATTCCATTTAAAAAGTGAAACTTGTATATTATATTCATACATTACATACAAACTCATATATTTCAGATGTTTATTTTGTTTAATTTTGATGATTACAAATGACAACAAATGAAAATCTCAAATTCATCATATCAGAAAATTAGAATATTACTGAAGACCAATAAAAACAAAGGATTTATAGAAATGTTGGCCAACTGAAAAGTATGAACATGAAAAGTATGAGCATGTACAGCACTCAGTATTTAGTTGGGCCTCCTTTGGCCTGTATTACTGCAGCAATGCGGCGTGGCATGGAGTCGATCAGTCTGTGGCACTGCTCAGGTGTTATGATAGCCCAGGTTGCTCTAATAGTGGCTTTTAGCTCTTCTGAATTGTTGGGTCTGGTGTATTGCATCTTCTTCTTCACAATACCCCATAGATTTTCTATGGGGTTAAGGTCAGGAGAGTTTGCTGGCCAATTAAGAACAGGGATACCATGGTCCTTCAACCAGGTACTGGTAGCTTTGGCACTGTGTGCAGGTGCCAAGTCCTGTTGGAAAATGAAATCTGCATCTCCAAAAAGTTGGTCAGCTGCAGGAAGCATGAAGTGCTCTAAAACTTCCTGGTATGTGGCTGCGTTGACCCTGGACCTCAGAAAACACAATGGACCAACACCAGCAGATGACATGGCACCCCAAACCATCACTGACTGTGGAAACTTTACACTGGACTTCAAGCAACGTGGATGAAGTGCCTCTCTTCTTTTCCTCCAGACTCTGGGACCTTGATTTCCAAAGGAAATGCAAAATTTACTTTCATCAGAGAACATGACTTTGGACCACTCACCAGCAGTCCAGTCCTGTTTCTCTTTAGCCCAGGCAAGACACTTCTGACGCTGTCTGTGGTTCAAGAGTGGCTTGACACAAGGAATGCGACAGCAGAAACCCATGTCT